GCCGGCACGGGGGCTGGGGCCGGGCCGTGCCCGAGCGGGCGGGGCGGGGGCCCGGCCGGGCACTGAGGGCTGTGTGTCCGCAGGTTCGTGGAGGCCCAGAGCAACCCCCAGAGCAGCCCCCTGGTGCTGTGGCTGAACGGGGGCCCCGGCTGCAGCTCCATGGAGGGCTTCCTGAAGGAGCACGGCCCCTTCCTGGTCAGTAGTCGCGGCCGTCCCGCGGCTCGGGGCTGGCAGGCTGCGTGGCACGAGCCGTCCCGCTGCGGCCGGCTTGGTTGTGCCCGTTGGTCACTGCCTTCTGCTTCCCCAGATCCAGCCTGACGGCATCACGCTGAAGTACAACGACTACGCCTGGAACAAGGTAGGGTGCAGGCGCTGCAGCCCTCCGCGGCTGTGGGGAGAGGGTGGCCCCTGGGCAGGCCCCCCTGCCCAGCACGCCCTCCTCTCAAGTCCGCTGTTGAGCAGGGCAGGAATGTGCCCCCCCTCAGCACAGCCCTGGGGCAGGCCAGGCACCCGCAGGCGCTGCCACTGGCGAGGCCAGCAGCCCTGCGCCTCCCCATGCCGGGAGGGGGGGCTCCCCTGATCTCCAGCTCCTCTGCTGTCCCTGCAGATTGCCAACGTGCTCTACCTGGAGTCCCCCGCTGGTGTCGGCTTCTCCTACTCCAAGGACAAGAAGTATGCCACGAACGACACCGAGGCGAGTGGCCCGGGCTGCTGGGAGGGACCTGCCTCCCGCCTGCCCCAGCCTGGGTGCTGGGGGTCCTGCCTTGCCACCTGACCCCTGCCTCCTCCTGCCTGCAGGTCGCTCACAACAACTACCTGGCACTGAAGGATTTTCTCCGGCTTTTCCCTGAGTACTCCAAGAATGATCTCTTCCTCACGGGGGAGAGCTACGGGGGGGTCTACATCCCCACGCTGGCAGAGTGGGTGATGCAAGACCCCAGCCTCAACCTGAAGGTGAGCAGCTGGGCTCTGCCACCGGCCTGGGCTGGGCCGGGGAGCAGGGGGCTTGGCACGGCCTCACTGGGGCTCTCGAGCGGTACCGGGGTGGGGACCGCCTGCGCAGCCGGCATGTGGGGCCCCCTCTGGGGCGTAGGGTGGGTCTGGCCCCACGGCCTTTCATCTTCTTCTGGGGTGCTGGCAGCGGCTGCTGGCGGACGTGTCAGTCCTCGCCGAGCGGGACCAGGGGAGCGTTCTCAGGCACCCCCGACCCTTCCTGTTCCCTCCGCGGAGTAAACAGTGCTGCATCTGCTTCCTGTCTGCCGCTGCTGCCGCCGCGGCTGCCCTGCAGGGAGCTGGAGCACAACAGAGTTGTTTTCTTCTTGCCTCACAGGGTATTGCCGTGGGAAATGGCCTCTCCTCCTACGAGATCAACGATAACTCCCTGGTTTACTTTGCCTATTACCACGGCCTGCTGGGGACCGAGTAAGAGGAGAGGGAGTGCTGCCGCTAGATGTGCCGTCCCTGTGCGAGCAGGACAGGGGCACGGCCTGGGACAGGGCTGGCTGGGTCGGTGCTGTGGGGGACAAGGGAAGCTCCTGGCCTGACTTGGGCAGCACATTTGTTCATAGAGCGCACACGGGCTGTGCCGCACGCTGTGTGGCCGCTGGGCGGGGAGCCTGCAGCGCGGCTATGGCCACGGCCGCTGGTTTTGTGTCAGTGCTGCCATCTGGGCAGTGCAGTCTAGTCCCTTGGTCTCTGCCTGCAGGCTGTGGAGGGACTTGCAGGCCTTCTGCTGCTCTCAAGGGAAGTGCAACTTCCACGACAACTCCAACCTGAACTGCACACTCAAGGTGAGGGGAGCCAGAGCCCCCGAGCGTGTGCCCTGTGCCGGTGACTGTGAGCAGCACCCACCCGCCTGGCTCTGGATGGGCCCATGGTCCCTCAAGCGTCCTGCTGAGTCCCAAACCCTTGTTGTGACTCGTTGCAGATGGGGGAGACGATTCGGATTGTAGAGGAGTCCGGCCTCAACATCTACAACCTCTACGCCCCATGCGATGGCGGTGTCCCTGGGAGCATGAGGTGAGAGTGGCCCCAGGGGAGACAAGTGTCCGGGCACAAGCTTGCTTTAATTTGCAGCACGTGGGGTCCTGGCTGGCAGAGGGACATGGTGGGCTGGGCAGGGGTCCCTCTGGGACAGGTGGACCGTGTCTGGCTGCTATTGAGGACTCCCCCACGGAGGACCCTGAGCCCTTGTTCCTCCAGAGCTTTCAGCCTGTCCTCGTGCTGGTTCTGGCTGCAGGTACGAGGGTGACTATCTCATCACACACGACCTGGGCAACTCCTTCATCTGGATGCCAATGAGGTTCTCCTGGCGGCAGGTGAGCCCGGGCGCCCGTGCCACCAGGCTGTGAGCATCCTCTGCCTGGCCAGCAGCGCTGCCTGTGGGCAGGAGCAGGCAGAAGCTGCTCCCGTGGGGCACCACCAGGTGCTGCTGTGGCAGGGACTCTCCCAACTCTCTCCCAGAACCTGTTCCGGATGCCGGTAGCCCGAAAGAAGGTCCGGATGGACCCTCCCTGCACGAACTCCACGGCCCCCAGCATGTATCTGAACTCCCCAGAGGTGAGGAAGGCTCTCCACATCTCCCCTGAGGCCCCGGAGTGGCAGGTGTGCAGGTGAGCAAGCTCCGGGCAGGGAGGGACCATCGCGAGCCTGAGCAGCCGCGTGATGCCAACGCTTCCTCCGCAGCTTTGAGGTGAACCGCAGCTACAAGCGCCTGTACATGCAGATGAACGACCAGTACCTGAAGCTGCTCGGAGCCACAGTGCGTGTGGGGGAACCCACCGGGCCCTGGGACCGGCTCTGCCAAACCGGCCTCCTGCCTGGCCGGGGCTGCTGCCCTGCGGAGCGCTCACCCTCCTTCTGCTCTGCAGAAATACCGGATCCTGGTGTACAACGGGGACGTTGACATGGCCTGCAACTTCCTCGGGGATGAGTGGTTTGTGGACTCCCTGTGCCAGAAGGTAACTGGGCAGGGCAGGGCCCGGACCAGGCCGGTCACCAGCTGCGTGCTGGGGCCAGCTGTGGCGAGAGCGTGGACAGGGCTGGCCCCCTGCCTCGGGGCGCCCGGGGGCTGAGGGGGCGGGTGCCGGGCCCCGGGGCGGGG